AAGTGGAGAGTTTGAGTAGACAGTTGGACATGGGAGTCTATAGTTTTAGGAGATTGGTTTGGGTTAGAGAAGTGGATTTTTGAATCAACAGCCATGAGACTTGATAAGATACAAGGGAGTATAGAGAGATAGGCCTTGAGGTATTCATATTTAGAGTTTGGAAAGATGACGAATAATCAGCAAAGGAGACTGCAAAGAGGGTCAAAGAAATGGTAGAAAATGCAGAAAGCCTGGTCACCTGGGAGTTAAGTAATGAAAGTGTTTCAAGGAGAAGGGAGTAATCAGCTATATCTAATGCTATAACATGTGCTAAGCAAGTAAGAACATTGGGATCTAGAAACATAGAAGTCACTGGTAATGCTGAAAAAAGGCAACTTTCATGAAGTTATAGAAGAGAAAGTTCAGTTATAATGGATCCTGAAAGAGTGGCAGAAGAGCAATTTATGACTTAAGGAAAGAGAAAGAAATGGGCTGGTAGTTAAAGGGAAATTGAGTCAAGAACAGGTTAAATATTTTTTAATGCGAGATTGACTGTGTGTGTATATGTTTCTAGAAGTGATTCAGGAGAGAGGGTGGGAATGGATGGTGTGGGGACGGAGGGAAGAATTGGTGGAATGATGTTGGCAAAAAGGAATAGGTTCTTGTGTGTAAGTTGAGGGATTGGCCTTGCCTAGAAACATGGACAATTCATCCCTAGTAAGAAGAGGAAAGGTAGATCTATGACTACAGACATAGTCAGATAATCATTTTAAAATTCTTTAATCAATAAGTGTTTCTGATAGCAGGCACTGTGCTAAGCACTTTACATACCTGATTTCGTTTAGTTATTATACAATCCCAGTCTAACAATGAGGTAGATTCTGATATTATCCCATTTAATTTGCAAGGAACTGAAATTTAGAGAAGTTGAAATAACTTACCAAAGTCCATATAGCAAGCAAGTGACAGGACCAAGACTTAAGCCTTGACTGCTGGACTGTAGAGCTTACGCAAGAAAGCGTCAGCTTATGATGTTCATATGTCCTTCCACTCCCAGATCCCCCATTTCTTGTCCCTTTTGCTTGTTCCCCCTCCCTCATTCTCCATATCCCAATAATCAACCAAGTCCCTGTCCATTTTACTTCCTCAGTGTTTCTTGCTTCTGGATCCTCTTTTTTGTGTCCTTCCTATTCCTACCAGCCTTTGACCTCGTCATTCTGACCCATGTAGTCCTAAATTAAATCGTCTATGGAACCAAACAATAATCTAAGAGAAAGGCATCCTTGACCATGCTTGCTCCATAACCCACTGCCTAATAAGTTCAAGTTTCTTAAACTATGCTATAAGCCTGCCACTACATGGTTACTGTGTATTTTTCTAATTTCACATCTCACTGATTTCTGTCTTGTACTTTTTTCTTAGCAGAGCTGAGTGCTTGCGGTCCTTCACTGCATGAACTATTATGTTTCCACGCTGTGTTTGTGCTTTATGATTTTTCCTTGTCTCTTTTCCTGGATTTTTCTTCTACTCCTCTTTTAAACCTCAGCTCCTGTTGTTTTCTCTAGGGAGGCATTTCTTTTTTTTTTTTTGAGACAGAGTTTCACTGCTTGTCATCCAGGCTGGAGTACAATGGTGCTATCTTGGCTCACTGCAACCTCTGCCTCCCGAGTTCAAGCAATTCTCCTGTCTCAGCCTCCCAAGTAGCTGGAATTACGGGCATGTGCCACCACACCCGGCTAATTTTGTATTTTTACTAGAGACAGGATTTCTCCATGTTGGTCAGGCTGAGCTCGAACTCCTGATCTCAGGTGATCCACCCACCTCGGCCTCCCAAAGTGCTGGGATTACAGGCGTGAGCCACAGTGCCTGGCCAGGAAGGCATTTATGATGCCTCTAACTTGGGTTCATATACTCTGCAGCCACAACGCCATCTTTTACTTGTGTTGCGGGAAGTCAGGGACCCCGAACAGAGGGACCGGCTGAAGCCCCGGCAGAAGAACATAAATTGTGAAGATTTCATGGACATTTATTAGTTCCCCAAATTAATACTTTTATAATTTCTTACACCTGTCTTTACTGTAATCTCTGAACATAAATTGTGAAGATTTCATGGCACTTATCATTTCCCCAGTGAATATCCTTGTGATTTCCTATGCCTGTCTTTACTTTAATCTCTTAATCCCATCATCTTTGTAAGCTGAGGAGGATGAATGTCGCCTCAGGACCCTGTGATTGTGTCAACTGCACAAATTGTTTGTAAGGCGTGTGTGTTTGAACAATATGAAATCTGGGCATCTTAAAAAAAGAACAGGATAACAGCGATGTTCAGGAACAAGGAGAGGTAACTTTGAACTGGCCGACGGTGAGCTGGATGGAACAGAGCTATATTTCTCCTTTTCTCCTCTTTCATAAGCAAAGAGGAGAAATACCGCTGAATTCTTTTCTCAGCAGGACATCCCTGAGAAAGAGAATGAGCCCTGAAGGTAGGCCTATAGATGGCCCCTTTTAAGGCATCCGGTAGAAGCCGAAGGGATGAAATAAGCCCCGGTGTCCTATAGTGCTCCCAGGCTTATCAGGTGGAGGAAAATTCCATCTAATAAATTGTGGTCAGACAGGTTATCTGCTTTCAAACCCTGTTTCTGATAAGATGTTATCATGACAATGCATGCCTGAAACTTCATTAGCAATTTTAATTTTTCCTTATCCGGTGGTCCTGTGATCTCATCCTGCCTCCATTTGCCTTGTGATGTTTTATTACCTTGTGAAGGATGTGATCTCTGTGACCCACACCCTGTTCGTGCACTCCCTCCCCTTTTGAAAATCACTAATAAAAACTTGCTGGTTTTACAGCTCGGGGAACGTCACGCATCCTGCCGATGTGTGATGTCTCCCCTGGACACCCAGCTTTAAATTTCTCTCTCTTGTGCTCTTTCCCTTTATTTCTCAACCCAGCTGAGACACTTAGGAAATAGAGAAGAACCCACGTTAAACATCGGGAGCGGGTTCTCCCGATATACTTGCATATGGCTTTTATAATGATTTGCTAACATGTTTGCTTCTACTAGGCCATGAGTTCCTTGAGGGTAGGGATCATGTTCTATTTGTATTTGTAGGCCTACCATATTACTTAATGTTTGGTTAGAATAGTTTTTTGAATGAGTGAATAGCAGGGGTATACAATTGATCCAAGAAAAGAAGCAGCAGCATATTTTCCATTTAAGTGTGCAAAAAGTGAGTGAAAGGCTATGGTTTCAGAAATGCTTTTAAGTGTAGGTAAATGTATTAGTCTGTTATCACATTGCTATAAAGAAATACCTAAGGCTGGGTAATTTATAAAGAAAAGCTATTTAATTGGCTCATGGTTCTGCAGGCTGTACAGGAAGTATGGCGGCATCTGTTTCTGGAGAGGCCTCAGGAATCTCCCAGTCATGGTGGAAGGCAAAGGAGGAGTGAGGTGTCTTACATGGCAGGAGCAGGAGCAAGAGGAAGAAGGGGAGGTGCTCCATGCCTTTGACAATCAGATCTTGGCCCGGTGCAGTGGCACACGCCTGTAATCTCAGCACTTTGGGAGGCCGAGGTGGGAAGATCCTTTGAGGTCAAGAGTTTGAAACCAGTTTGGCCAACATGGTGAAATCCTGTCTCTACTAAAATACCAAAATTAGCCCGCATGGTGGCGCGTGCCTGTAATCCCAGGTACTTGGGAGACTGAGGCAGGAGAATCACTTGAACCTGGGAGGCAGAGGTTGCAGTGAACTGAGATCACGCCACTGCACTCCAGCCTGGGTGACGGAGTGAGGCTCTGCTTCAAAGAAAACAAAACAAAACAAAATAAAAAAACCCAGATCTCGCAAGAACTCATTCACTATCCTGAGGACAGTATCAAGTAGATGGCACTAAACCATTCATGAAAAACACCTCCATGATCCAATCACCTCCCACCAGGCCCACATCCAACATTGGGAATTACACTTTGGCATGAGATTTGGGTGGGGACACAGATCCAAACCATATCGGTAAGAGAATGCAAGGGAGAACTTACGATAGTTCATTATTCAGCAGACACTAAGCACCTTCCTTGTACTGAGCAGTATTGTAAGAGCTTGGGATAGATGAAGCTTTTGTCCTACTGTAGGGAAATAGATAATAGGCAAATAAACCAAAAAAGACAAAAAAAGAAAATTTCATGGAAAGATAAAACCTTTGGTGAAAACAAAAAAACTTTGTGGTCGTGGTGGGGGGCATGAGTGGCTGCCTTCAGTTAAGTAGCAGAAAAGCCTGAGAAGGTAACATCTAACTAGAGACCTTGTGACAAAAGAAGCAGTGAACCACGTGAAGTTCTGGGGGAGCCGCCCAGGCAGAGGGTGGTGGCTAGTGCACTGTTCCTAAGGAAGGAACAAGCTTGTATGTTTTGAAAGGAGCTGGGCACATTCCTCAACCCCCGGGCTCGAAACTCCCTGAGCCCAGTACAAACACCACCTGGAAAGTCTCCGATAAGGAGACAGCCGTTCAAGGTTACTGAAAGCGCGGGAGCCAAAAGAATTTCTTTGTTCCCCTGCAACTTTCGGGCTATAAAAAGCAAACGCACGCATTGATCGGGGCCCTCTTGTATACTGTGTAAAGGAGGGACCAAGTTCGAACTTGTAGTAAAGATCCTTGCCGCTTGGCTTTGACTCTGGACTCTGGTGGTCTTCTTTGGGGAACAAACAGTCTGGGCATAACATCTGGGGGCTGATCCGGGATTCCCCAAGCCCACCATACCCCTGGTCAACGGATCTGCTAAGATCGATCTACTGATAGGTGAGCTGGCTCGTCTCCATTTGTCTGTCTGTGTCTGAGTGTCTGTTCTGAATCTGAATCTGTGACTCGCGAGGTCTGAAACTGAAGCTGGCACAGTCCTGGCGGACGCGCTATAGGACAGCCAGTGGAGACCGGTGGGAGACGTCCCCTGGCTCTCTTCTGATTTAAATTGTGATCTGAGTTGCCGGAGCGCGTTCGCGATCTGGGCAACAGCTGACTCTGACCCCGGTCCCCGGGTGCGCGCTCGCGGTCTGAATTGCCCCGGTCCCCGGGTGCGTGCTCGCGGTCTGAATTGCCCCGGTCCCCGGGTGCGCGCGTGCGGTCTGAATTGCCCCGGTCCCCGGGTGCGCGCGTGCGGTCTGAATTGCCCCGGTCCCCGGGTGCGCGCTCGCGGTCTGAATTGCCCCGGTCCCCGGGTGCGCGCGTGCGGTCTGAATTGCCCCGGTCCCCGGGTGCGCGCTCGCGGTCTGAATTGCCCCGGTCCCCGGGTGCGCGCGTGTGGTCTGAATTGCCCCGGTCCCCGGGTGCGCGCTCGCGGTCTGAATTGCCCCGGTCCCCGGGTGCGCGCGTGCGGTCTGAATTGCCCCGGTCCCCGGGTGCGCGCTCGCGGTCTGAATTGCCCCGGTCCCCGGGTGCGTGCTCGCGGTCTGAATTGCCCCGGTCCCCGGGTGCGCACGTGCGGTCTGAATTGCCCCGGTCCCCGGGCCTCGCGGCTGAATTGCCGGTCCCGGGTCGCGCGCGCCGGCCCGCGCTCGCGGTCCCGGTCCCCGGGCTCCCGGCTTCCGGCGCGCGCTCGCGGCCCCGGTCCCCGGGCTCCCGGCTTCCGGCCGCGCTCCGGCCCCGGTCCCCGGGCTCCCGGCTTCCGGCGCCGTGCCGGCCCCGGTCCCCGGGC